TTAATAAATATTGTATGTGTAATTTTTACAAGTAGAAGTAGTACTGTGGTTGTCACATTTTACTGTGCACATAGCTTGATTGTTGCAGAGTGGACATCTAACAGAAATATTTCAGTTTAACATGATGAATTTACTGTGTCCCCATCAGAAATCACATAACAATGCCAAAGTATCTCTTTGAATAGAGGTTGAAAAACAGAAATAAGTGTTTGATGAAAGTTTTCAAATCCTCTCAAAATCCAGTCATTACTGGTTTTGCAGCTGGGCACATAGGAATGCTGCTGCTCCATGGGGGATTCTTGGAAAGTGAACATTACTTACTTAATCAGGGTAGTGAAAAGCAGATCCTGTTGACTGTAGGTGCCCTGAGTAGAACCCCAGTGAGGATGCTGGCGCACAAAGGGCAATTTGCACAGAAGTGTAAAGACTTTTTGAAGCCTTTTGTTAAAGTTAAAATGGGAAGGGCACAATATGTTTTCAGTGTCTGTTCTGACTGTATGTCTGATGCTTGATGTTTTGCTAATGATGTATGAAACACTGCATGTGACATTGCTTGGGTTAATGTGCTTGTTGAAGCCTTGAGTCTGAATTATTTGGGCCCAATTCTGAGCTCAGATAAACAATAGAGGAGAAAATCAGAGAAAGCACATGCTGTCTGGAGGCTTAATGGAAATTCTCTAGGATCCTGACATTTCAAGAAATAGTGTAGCAGGAAAGGTAAGTACTCCTGCATCTTTGGTAAAAGATTCTTCAGTGTTGTATGTGGTTTAAATAAATGTAGGATATCTCACTTTTTTCTCAGGTTAGATGTTTTTGTATTTTCAATAAAGGGCAAAGGTGTTCCAGCATATTTCAAGCAAAAGATATGATCCTGGGTTACAATTCAAACACCTAATTTGTATATTTTATAAAACTATTATTTATGAAATGGAATTACAAATGTCCACCTGCATTAGCATAGGCCCACTGTCTGCCTGCCTGTATGAATATTACCGTAGCCTTCAGGTAAATCCTGGAATTAAGGAGGTCGTATCATTACATAGTCTTCTGTAGTGGTTTTTTAAACCATGAACAATGGAACTGATTGCTCACATGTAGATACAATTAGCGTGAATGGCTACTTCCTGACATTAATATGTTAACAGACATGCATTGTTTGTTCCATTATAATTTTCTATTGCTAAGCATGTTTCAAACACTGAATATAAAGGTCTGACAGTAGAGTAGCAGTCTGCTATGGCATGGGAACTTCTGCCTTTGCTGATTTGTATAAAGAACTTCAGCGCTGAAATCACTGTTAAGGGCTTTTTTTTTTATTAAGTTTTTTTTTCTTCTCCTCCTATAGCAGGAGGAACCTGAAACTCCTTCTTCCTTTCCCAGCTCAGAAATATGCCTCTGAGTGCTGGGAGAGATGGTGTCAGGCAGTTGAAGAGGAAAAAAACACAAATTAACCACCAAACAAAAGAAACCCAACCCAACTAACGCAAAACAAACCAAAACCAAAAGAGAACCCTCAAAGCCTCCTGAGACATGGTAGCCTAGAAAACTGGAAACCATATTCAAAAACAGCCCCAGGGAGAATTTTTTTTGTTCCTTCAGTGAGGTACATGGAAGAGCACCTGTCCTGTGAACTTTCAATATCTACAAGCACTGAATTTATCTCCACAAAATGTATTGCTATGTGTCTGTAAATGTTAATATTTATACATGCATATGACTTCCTCTCTAACTAAATATTCTTGCTTGGAGTGCTTATGGTTCATGTTCTACACTGTCCTGCTTGTGTGAATAACCCAATGTGCTGACAGACTGACAAGGCGCACTATTCTGCTAGAGCTGAATTAGGGCCGATACACACAGTGCTGCCTGACAAATTGAGTCAGATGCTCTAAGTGGTTTTGCCTGTTTCAGAGTACTGGGAAACTCAAAGGGCATCAAGTCAAATTGCACATTGATTGCAGTTTGCCCTGTAGCTTTTACACACGGAAAGAATCACACACAACATTTAGAAGATTAATGGAAGAGACTGCATCAGGGGAATATCACATGTAAGCATGGAGATGTTGGACATCTCTGGATCATAGTAACATTGCAACTCTAACCATCCAGGAAAGAGCAAAATTTATTTTAATTTGTGCTTCCTAAATGAAAGACATAGACTTCATCACCCGTTCTGTAGACTTTGTAATTCCCAACTTAGACATACTGTAATTCACATTTGGTTTGGGGTTATTTTTAATTCTTCAAATAAACAAAATATCAGAATATCACAAATAAGAGTAGTCTAGAATTTTTATATACAGAAATACAAATCTATAAGTACTAATGTTAATGAACTGTCATATATTAGAATATCTTGAATCACAGAGATCACTGATTTATTATTTTATGATCTATAACTATGTAGAGTTTGGATGACAAACCAGTAGCTGGATACCTGAAAACACAGCTTTTATTTTCATGCTTCAGAATCACAGAGGCTGCTTCCTTAAAAAGCAGTAGCAAAAAAACAACTTAAAAGAAAAAGTCAAAAAACAAAGATTCTCATATGAACCGTTCCAATATCTGACATTTAAAAGACAATACAAGGTACTGTGCAGCTTACAATGATATGCCATTATTTCATTTGCAATACTTGCCCTAGCTGAAGCCTCCTCCTTCTCCTTGTTTTGCTGATCAGCAAATTTTGCACCAACTTGCAGCATGTTTCTCAGATGTGTTCCATTATTAAAATAATTTTAAAAAGCCTCCATGTACTGGATCTCAGTTTATTGATCAGTAACTTATACAGAAAGTGATCAGGTTCAGCACAAATTGCGTTTCAGCTTTTCTGAATGGTCCACTAAATGATCCTGATGATTTCTGATTTGTCTGTTGCCAGGTAGATTCCTTACTTGTTCTACATTTTCTTCTGGTTAGTTATTAAAAGCATTTTTCTCAATTTCATTTCTATTTCTAAAAAAAACAGCCACTTGGTTTCTATTCTTGGTGTTCTCTAACACCTGGTAAACATACCAATGAAACATGTTCTATCACTTCTGTAACAAGAGGCGACAACAAATGAAATTGAGGGATTTATATGGTTGTGTATGTACAAACTCAAGGGTTGTTTCCTTAACACAGCAGTGTTTTGGACACATTCTCTCACCAAATGCTTACAGTTCATCACGGTAAATATTTCTGGATAAATATGCTGCTCTAAACTCTTTCTAAAGCAATTTCTGTTTTTTTTTCTTAGGCTGAAAGTTTTTTTTGTTTGGTTGGTTGTTTCAGTGAATTCCTTTCACAGTAGGAAATAAAAATATGCAAGTTTTAGTAGCTTTCTTCACAATATATGGAGGTGCTTTGGATTCAAGGACTGATAGTCTTTTTTCTGGACTTAAAAATCTAATGTATCCATTGTTTAAGGTCAAATGTCTCAATAAAATCTTTCTGTTGAAGTGACTCGTTAGATTTTATTTTTATCAGGTCCCTTCTGCAATATTTTTTCCCCAGCTTTCTTGATTTCAAAATTCCCAATGATGGTATTTGAGTTTTCTGGGAATTTCTGCACTGTGATGCATGTTGGGAACCGAGATTTTTTTCTAGTTCTGCTTCTGGGCTCCCTCTGATCTCTAATGTACAGTGCAGTACTCCCTTCCCTAGTGACTTCTCTTACCATTTTCTTAACTTGTCCTTCTGTTCCTTGTATAAGAGTAGCTTGTGGAGCTATGCAAGGGAATCATTCACAATAGTAGCTAAAGTGCAGAAAAACATTTCTAAGGATTCCACAGAAATGAAGGATTATGAACATTTGTCCTTTTAAAGCTCAAAATGAGGAAAAATGAAGACCCCACAAAGCCTCCAAAAAAGCCTTCCACCTTGACCTGCCAAGCCAACACATGAATACAGAAGTTTTACCCATCATAAATGCAACATTATTCTGCAGGAACTGCTTTACTTAGGAATTTATTAAGGTCACGGTGTGTAAACAAAAGGACTATTGAACCAAAGCCAAGCATTTGTTGACAACTATGTATTTTAAAACTTGAACACCTTTTCTTTCCTTACCCTCCCTGCACACACCAGCAAATCACTATCTTTCATACAAAGCAAATGCACAGCAGAAGTAAATTGCAGTTTCCCTAGGAAAAAATATATCTTAGTTTTGAATAAACATCCAATTGAATTGATGAATTTGATCCTTTTGTACAAAGTTTTTTGAAGTTTTGCTTTCTGCCTCCAATCACAGTTGTGGATGCTGAAGCTTCTGTGAGCCAGGTGATCTGTCTCCTCATGGGCCTTACAGCATGCATCCTACCAGCTGGTACCCAGAGAAAACCTATTTCTTCTTATCCTTCTTCTCCCCCTTTGGTTTCCTTGGTACCTGTGCTTCTAAATATTTACTTTATACATTGCTTTGATTTCTTGTTGTGGCTGCTTTGGGTTTGAGCCAGTGTTCACTTGCAAGGCAAGAAAGAGATATTCAAAGAGATTATAAAAGAGGTAACATTTCATCTTGAAAAGTAACCAATGTGCCTCTTCAAGTATTTGAACTGTGCTTGCAGACACAAGAAGCAGCTTATATTCCTGCTTATATCTGTCTGCAGGTCTGTCTCCATAAGCTTGATCATAAAAGGAGAATTCACTTTGTTTTCTGTTTAATACCAAACATTTGTTTCTTTCCACAAAATTAGTACAACCTAATACTGAACCTGCAACTTTGTTTTGCTAGATGATCTTAAGGTCCTTTCCAACCCTAACTATTCTATGATTCTATGATTCCATAATGTTGTATTTATATATTAAACTGCGTTAACTTGCTAAGACCAAATCAGCTGATGGAAGAGATGAAATCTTAACCTGCTATCTGGGTTTTCTTGTATCTTACAAAAGTACTGTAAGAGGTAGCCAAAATAAGAATCCATTTGATTTTACAGGTGACTTTAACAGGAATATTTGTACTATTTTGAAACCAGAGAAAGTGCAACATGTGTGAGGCAGCCACATTCATCTTTTCACAGCACATGAAAAGTACCTTTCCCACAGATGGTTTAACAGTGATTTTGGATTTGCTTTTTCCGATGTAACACAGCTATATCTCTTTCTCTAATATGTCTTTACGTATTTATTTCTCAATCCCCTTTATCACACTGTGAAGTGTTTTGGCTTGTTGTTTTCATGGCTGTTTATGGCAGTCTGTTGTTCAATTGGATACCACTTGTGTCCTTGCTCTTTTCAGCACAGCATAGCCAGTCAGCCAGTCTTGCCAGCAGGAGTTAAGTGGAACTTGGGTACTTTTCCAGTTGAACAAAAAAACCCTGTTCTTCCTGCAGCCTGCATTTCAACAATGAGTAAAGAGAAGCTTCATAGTCAACATTAAATAAAAACACATGGTTTCCTGCAGCTGGAGTCTTAATCTTGCATTAGGGTTCCCAGAGCCAATGCTGCAAGGGGCAGCTTTTAGATAGCTAGTGGTACTTCAATTGCAAAACTCTCAGTTAAACCTGAGTTTACGGCTGCTCATCACAAAACTACTGAAAGAGAAATAGTTTTTGCAGCTTCTTGTTTTGGAATGCTGATGGGAATCAGAGGAGAACAGTCCTGTTATTTTATAGGAGACTACAGTTTCTTTACTGAAGGTAGAAAGCCACTCAACTTTATTTAGCAGCATTGTTCTTCATTTAACTAGCTCTTCCATCCATCTGTCCTTGGATATCTTCCCTTCTTGCATTACCTGAGTTCTCTAATAGTGGAGTTATAGCTTGTAAAAATTATGCTAATCTTGTTGTATTAACAGCTGCATGTTTTGGTTTCACTTCCTATGTTGTTCTTGCGGAAGGTGCCATAATCTTAAATTCTCATCTGAAAATGTTATGATCTTTTCACTTTTTTTTTCTCTTGACTTACATTTCAAAGAGATCTGCTGCTTTTTATCATCCTGTCCACCTTCCCATTACAAGTTTATATTATGATATTATGATATTGAGGCAGTCTTTGATTGTTTTTTAGTTTGCGTAGTTCCTTGTGTAATATGTTCACTTGCTTGTCTAGTAGCATGTTCACTTAGTTGTCTAGAATGCTGCATGTCAGTGAGACAACCTGCACAAGCCTAATCTCATCTGCCTTGTTTTTTTTTAATAGCTGGCATATTTTGTCTGATGTGCTTATAAATTGCCTGAGTGTTTGGCTGAGCCCTTTCTGATAATTAATATATTATTCACCAGGGATTTTTATAAATATATTTCCTCTTTCTCTTTTTTTTTCTGAAGAATAATAATTGTATAGGGTACTGTCACTACATCTTCCCAGTTGCTCCCTAGCCCCTCCACTGACAGGATTTTACCGCAATGATAGAAAATTTGGTATTTGTTACACTGCTGATAGTTAGCATACAACAGTGAAAATTATTTTACTGTTGTCAACAGTGTACACTCTCTTTAAGGACTTGTGTTAAGTTTCAGCATCTCTGTGCAAGGATTTATAGATCTTTTGAAAATGAATGTGTGCTTGTTATATTGACAGAGGTGAATTAAACTTTTTTTTTCAGCTTTGCTGAAATGAAGAAAACTAAAAACTGAGGAACAAGCGTGAGTGGCAGAATCTGTTTCACTGTTTTTATGGGCAAATACCAAGGATTGTCTCCTCATTGAACCTGTTAAACTGACTTTTGGGGATTGAAGACTGATAAAGTTTATTTCTGATCACACAGTCTGATGATTTTGAGACTTGCTCTTTATCAGGAATATGAGTAAAGTGAATTTACATGTATTTCCATGAGTATTCAGAAGGAATTTATAAATTATATAAATAAGAAACAACAGTGCAAGCTTCCAAGAAAATATTTTATTTAGTTATTATTTTATTATTTTATTTTATTTTATTTTATTTTATTTTATTTTATTTTATTTATTTTATTTTATATTTTCCTTTATTTTCCTTTATTTTGTTTTATGATATTGCCTTGCAAAAGAAAGGGCAGAATTTCTGGTTGCTGTGTTATACTTGGGGCTACTGATGGGAAATGGGGAACAGTCAGCAGAGTTCCTGTAAGGAGAGGAAGGAGAGGAAAGAGACCTAAACTTTCATTTTGGCTGCATTCTGCATAGCCTGAAAGCCTTGGGGAAACTTGCAAGTGTTACGGTAGGGAGGCTACAATGTACTGATCCAGTCTGAAGATAACCAAAGCACAGCTAAGGGTGGGGAGTCTTGAAACTGATTAAAAGTAATCACAGCCCTGTGGCCCGAGGCATGCAGAAAACAGAGCCACTAATGCTATCCGGGAATCCATATAATGTCCTACATAGCAATTGCCAGTAAAGAGAAGAATAAATTTCTCTAGTCTTCTTCTTGAAGCCAGGGAATTTCTTATTTCTGCTGGTGTGGCGAATGAGAGTGTTACTCTGAAGTGTCTCAAGTGTCAGCCCTGATGCTGGTGGGGAAGAGAGTTTTCTATATCCAATAGGTGCCTTGACTTTCATGTTTCTTAATTTATAATCCAATGTATACCTATCTTAATTCATAATCCAATAGAAGCTATACTGAGAGATACCAAAACCTTATTTTTTTGTCAGATATATTGTAATACATAGAATAACAGTGGGAAGATAGTGCTGAAAAGTAATTGCAGTAAGATATTTTGATAATGGCTATACAGCACCTGCTGAGAATAGCTTATATGCTATTGATTTCAGTAAGAATATTTACTGTAATAAACACAGTAGAGGTCTATTTTTAGCTTAATATAAAGATTTGTAAAAAAGAACGATGAATTACGTTATTCAGTTGTATCTCTTGAATTATCTTAACCGTGTGTGGTTGCTCTTAAAATTAACCAATTTAGTATTTTCTAAAGAGCATCTGGGGAACTGTTTAATATATACAACTGAAAGCAATGTAACTGCAAACAGGCAGAAGTAATATCATGTAGTCACATTTTAGAAACTGAGCCTTGAGTTTCTTAATATATGCCTACATAAATTACTAGTATTAGTTTGCTTCCGCACTTATCTCAATGGGATGTTTTTGCTTCAGCACTTTTATCCCACCTGTTGGTAAACCTGTAAACCTCATTCACATTTCCTCTGGGATTTTTTTTTCCTTCTCATTTACACCAGTTTCAGCTTGTTTTGAATAAATTCCCTAATTTCATGCAAGCATAAAAATGGACAAAATCACAAAGAAAGATGAGAGCATTTGGAATAGAATTTAAGAAATTAAATTATTAGAAAAATAACAGGAAAGTTATTTCAGGAATTTTAAAAATAGGCATGTTTATGTATGCATTTAAAATTATAAAGCTCAGTCCTTGTGAAAGCTGTTTCAGCACTAAAAGATGCATATGTGTACACTATACCTAGGTCTATGCATTGTGCTTGGTACACAACATAATTCTGTGTGTCCTGGGTAATGATGCAACCATTTTCAGTGGCTCTAACTGACTTTCATAGATGCTGTAGGTAGTATTTAACCACTTATTTTTAAGGGTTAAAATTATAGAGAACAATGTCTTTCCAACATAGGTGACCACTGGTTTTAAAATAATGGTCATATATATAGAAATCGGGGTTTATTCACACTTAGCAGTCATAATTCCCATACAAGTGCCATAAATTGTTACTTTTTTACATTATTTGGGATAACTCAGATAAGGGGTTTCAAACTAGAGGTTTTTTTTTTTCTCACTTTATTAAAAATACTGAATTTTCCTTAGTTTTTCAGTGTCATACATTTTATAGTGCTTCCTTATTAATGCCTTTGTTTTAAAAATGGGGCAGAGAGACTCCTGATCTCAGCAAATATCTTAGTGAGTATACTTTTGCTTTGGGGCAAGCACAACTTAATATTCATAAATCTTGGAATGCAGAGGCGGAATGTGAAGAGAATCAATGTAGATTCTGAGGCATTAGGTATTGGGGCTAAATATCTGATGTGAACAACTTATCAGAGGATTGGCAACGTTATTAAAGTATCATGTAAGAGCCAAGCTATTTCTAAGTTTCAAAAAAACATAGAAAGATTCCTAGTACTAGTTGACATTTCAATAAAATATGGCTAAGAAGAAAATACCTCACATAAAGAGATCTCAACAGACTAGCATAAAATGAAACAATAACATTGAAACCATTGCAATAAAATAAAAACAGGTCTTTGTAATGAAGCTTGAAATCCGAAAATCAATTAAAGCTAATTTTTAAAATGACAAGCAATAGTTCATGTAATAGCAAATTGAGTGTTGCATGTGGGGTTTAAAAAACATTTATTTTTGATTGATGAAAATGTCTCAATAAATGCCCATTCCATGAATTTCTTGCTCCATAGCTATATTAACAGGCATTATCTCAATTTGTAACATGGATAAAAACTTGAAGGTAAATATAATAGAATATAGTCCATAAAAAATATACATCTCTTTAACTGAAGCTCTGAGTTGTACTGAAGATGACTCAAGAGGAAAACAGGCTTTGTTACATACCAAAGACTAGGAAGTCAACGCTGTGGCAGATCAATGGCAAAAGGCAGTTCCCGTGTCAATAGACCTTTGTAAAAAGCATTCTGCCATCAGTTCTCCATCTTCGATAATAAGGAGAGTCTGTGTTCAGCATTGTGGATGATAAGGACATGGGACGGTGTGGGGCAGCCTGGGCACCAGAGCCTGCTTTAGAGTTGTGCACAGGACACTTGATTATGAGGTTGCCTCAGCTGCTTCAGAGCCACTGGGATTTTGGCTGGAAAAGGCTGGTCATTTCAGTGACTTTGGGAATGTAAGCTGGTTTTTAGTGCATGATGTGTGTCCTCTACAATGTTCAATTCAGAAAAGTATTGCTTCCAAGTCATTTATGAGGCACCTGCCCTGCAAGCCTATATGCAGGTGCAGCTATCCTTTAGCACAGTTCATGCCTTGGAACTTCTGCATTTAATGACCTATGACAGCTAGGCATTTTTTTTTTTTTTTGTCATTGGCATTTTAAAGAATTCTATTGAAGATGAACAAGGAGGAACAGACTCCATCTTAGCTGTGCTCATTTTGCAGGTCTAGATGCAATAAAAAGCATTAAAACTTTTTATTTTCTCCTTACTGAAGTCAGCAGATCCTGCTCAGAATGCTCAAAAAGACTGGCTCTGTGGAATAAAACTGTGCTATTATTACTCAGACATGGTTACATTCCAGGGTAGGGGTAAAAAAAGAGACTTCTGAGACATGCAGGACTACTCTATTTTACCTGTGGCTCATTGATGTTAGCTAGTGTAAAGTTTGCCAAATTCCTGTTCTTTTGGTCATCACTGGTGACCTTTTTCTAGAAATATCGGGCTTTAATTTCTTTTCTTTGTGCAGATATCTCCTCTCTTTAATTTTCTTGAACTTTATAAAATAATGTTTGAATACAAGTATACCAAATAAAGGATTTTTTTCATGTTACCTACTTCTCAGAGATTTATACTTTTAAGATGATAAACTGTAATTACTCTAGTGAAAGCTGTAAATCACTGAAAATATATAGGTGAAACATGACACTTAAATGTGTGTAGACAGGTGTTTCACAACATCAGTAAAGATCCTTTTGTATTTATCTCCAAACAGGGAAAGTAAAACCTACAGAGTCTGTGTTCTCATAGGGCACAGCTAGTGATACTGGAACTA